AATGTCATTAAAAAGGGATTTTGTTGATGTGTGTTTACTTAAGCTGCTTACAGTATTGATGGGGTGTCATGTTGGAGGTAAAGCGTTGAACGGTTGCACAGGCTTGTGCCCGAAATGTGGATTAGGTTCAGGTGAAGGTTCTGGTCGAATTCATGTAGTGCAGTAAAGTTAAGGACAGGGTGTTAGGGAATCAATGCAGCCAGCAGTACAGTCAGCAGAGGAGGTCATGTGTGAATGTCTGGTTTTTGATGGGTGGATTTAAGGAAAACTTACGGTCAGAGTGTGTATGTGGGTGTACTGTAGGAGTGAGATTATTACGCTCTCCATGGAACCATGACTGCAGCCAACTGTAACGTGTGTTTGTGCCTTTCGGTGTAACATTTCCTCTGCTCAGAGTTGTTTTTGCAGTTAAATGATTTCCTTTACAGCGCAGACTTCCCTCTTTACTCTACTGTCTCAGGGCCGATGAGCCGGAGCAGCAGAGTTGCTGACGCTCATATGTCACCACGGAAACACAAAGGCAAGGTCAGCAGGAAATAACACTGTTCATAACCTGCTGTCTTCTGTGTCTACCAATAAACAGCTGAGGTGACTGGGTGTCTGCAGTGGGCATTACTGGTTGGCTACATGAAACGCACACTACATTACATGTAATTGTGCAACAGTGAATATTTACATATATCAATACTTAACATGCATAATACTCTCCTACACACTAACCATCTGGAGGAAAGGCTGCTTCCACTGTGGAAGCATGTGGCCCTCACTCCTCTCAGAGAGGAAAAGGAGTCAGAGCTGAGAACTGGTGTTTCTGTTGAAGCAGAAGCGTCTGTCGACAGTGACACTGCAATTAGCCATGCAGCAGGTTAAGCGAGCGCTGAGGGAGATCAAGTCAAGGGATTTCTCTGAGCTCTACCCCCTGAAGGCATCTGCTTCCAGCTAAAGCCCCCCTGCTTGGAGGGAGGATTTGCTGTGAGAGTGTTTCCTGCAAGTGTGTATGAGCAGAACCCATGGGCCCTCTAAGCCAAATCAAGGTCACCCATGGCCCTTAAGGATCTCATGATTCATGGGGAACATTTACACACTTCACGCATCACAAAATTGAAAGGATAAACCGCCTATGGAATCTGAGAGAGAGAAAAAATTCGAAAAAACAGCTCTGAGAAATGGCAATTTAGTCTGGAGTGGACTTGAGAGGTGGAGACGGAAGGAAACAAACACGGACAATGAGAGATGAAAGGATAAGTGAAGAAGATAGATGGGAAGAAAACAAAAGTCTTAAAGCGAGGGACGGAGATTTGGGGTGTTGGGATCCAAGGAAACCCCTAAATATGAACTTGTTCATTTGAAGTGTTTAACTGAAACACAAAGAACGTTTGGG